CAATAGTTTTGATGCTCCTGAAGCCGGAGCACATCCAAGTACATCACCCGACAAGAATCCTGCCAAAGCCAAACACGGATCAAGAAATAGTGTTGCATTTGTTTCAGTGAAAAGACCCAAAGTGTCAACAAACAATGAGTTGGGGTTTGACATTCATAGAACAGAAAAGGATGATAATTCTGGTGTAGATAAAGAAGATCCATTTTTCAGTTTACTTTTTAGTGGAAATGTGAAGACCAGTCTATTCTGAACTTCACCTAAATAGTTTTTCATTTCTCCTTGTTTTTCTCTGTTAACTAGGCCGCGGCGCATCTTTGCATCCATATTTGTGAGTTGATGCTCAATCATGTCCAAATTTGGACAATTTATCCAAATTTGTTTTAAATTTTTAGAGTTGATGCTCAATCATGTCCTTTTTTGAGGGTAGGAAGAAATTTGGAGCATCTGTGGGAGCTGAAAATGAAATGGAGTTTGTATCTCTTAACACAGTGTCATTGTCCTGATTTCATGAAGAACTCAACTGTTAACGGTATTAACACTTTCCAGAGAGCTTACATGCCAGCAAACAGGTATTAATTTAATGAACACTAATATCATGTACCAAATAAGGCATCTACTAAGTAAACAAAAATACAGAAGAAAATCCTTCATCAAATAAATGTTAATGATTCCAACATGCTATTTGAATTTCATAAAGTAAAACACTTGTATCAAACTGAGGTGAACTAAGCTAGACCCAAGATGCTGCTGAAGCCTTCTCATTCTTGTCTTTGTTTTACACACAAATCAAAATGCCAAAATTCTAACCAATGCCTCGGATTTATGGGTTGCTGTATTGTATGACTCTCCTCCATCCAGCTGTTGATTCTGTTCCAATAGTGTCTCTGAAAATTGCGACATGGTATGAATTTTCAATTTTACTCTGTTATGTAAGAAACAACTACAGTGATGTCGTCCAGCTTCCCACCATGGTAATCAAATCCAGCCTCACGAGCTCCATCAGAGAAAGGCGAAGACTTAGTATGATCCATTGCTCTTAGTTGTGCCAGTTCTGCTATCCGCTGAGCAGTCATCTGAGGCCCTAAGCCAGCTTCCATGGCCTGAAATACAACTCCACTGATATCTTCGTCATACAAATTATCAAAAAGCCCATCTGTACCGACAATTAGGACATCTCCAGGTACAACAGTAATGTTGAACACCATGGCAGAGCTAGGTGAATCACCTGCGTTATTGCAATCTAGTTGATATGGGAAATTAAACCCATGCTGTTGTGAAGGGGATTTAAATGCAGCACATCCATTTCTAACCAACATAAATCCGCTATCTCCTAAATTAACTGCATAAAGACCTCCTTCAGTGAGTGCAACCATACACGCTGTAGAAGAGCCTTTTGCTTTTGTTCTCACGTAAGCTTTCTCCAGCACCCTGATTAGGTCTACAGAACCTTTTGGTTCATCTTGAATTGCAGATAAAGAGTGAGACATCAATTCACGGGCATATAGTCCAGCATCAATACCAAGATCAGCCCATCCACCAACACCATCAGCTACACCGATTGCTGGTGTAAGGGTACAAATAAAATGAGCATCCTCTCCACCAGTTTTTGCTTTAGCAGGATGAGGTAGGTAAAAAGATCCCGAGTTTAGCTGCAAGGAGATCCTTGCTTCAGAAGAATTAACAACATCTACAACTTGTTCCGTGCCCTTAGAATTATCAGAAGACACATTAGAAGCAGAGGCAGTTCCAGAAAAGAAACATTCGTGGGATAAATTGCGAAAACCTTCCAATCCAAAGCCTTTGTGTGGGTTGAGGTTAGTCCTCCTCTTTGCAACATTAGTCGTGAAATATTGGTAAAGCATGAAGTTATTGGGCCGTCCTTTGTTTCCCAAACTGATGTTAGCTTTACTAACATTTTGAAAGCCTCTTTTGTTGTAAGAAACAGTACAGCTCTTTACTGACAAACTACACTGCAGGCGCCTAGCAGTCATATTGCCAACGAAATGGCCAATATGAGTCCTTGAACCACAAACAGCCATTATGCCTTTCTGAGTATCAATAACAAAAGTAACTCGGGAAGCAGCAAACCTTCAAGTGCAGAGTTCTGCAAAACCACAGAAGGAAACAACATGAGGTTACATAAGTAGATTGCATTTTCTTCTTTTTAATGGACATAGTAGATAAAGCTAACTGACAAAGCAAGACACACATAACACAAGCTCCTATATCTCCCTTTCAATTGATCTTTTGAACAAAAAATTATACTGAGGAGATTGTGTTATCATGTGCAGGCTAGAAAGTGCAAGTTGTAAAACCTATTAACTTTGAAACAAAAACGTCATACGAAACACGAATATCAAGAAAATTGACTTGGTCAAATTAAGAGCTAAAAGCACATTCATGAATACAAAATTCCTGGGAGCTCATTAGCAGCCAAAAGTTGCAAAAGAACTTTCCAAAGTGGAACTATTCCAACAATAAGCTCAAAGGCAACAAGAAAACTGTCAACAGCCAACGAAAGAGTGCGACACAGTGAGGCAGCGACAGATAATCAATCGTTAAGGGGCCTAAAGGAGAACTTAGAATTTCAATTGGTTTTTCTTCTCAATCTCTATGTGGAACTCTTAAACAAAAAATCAAAAGAAAAAATTTACACCCTATTTTTATCACAAGTTAAAAAATCAAAAGTTTTGAGCTTTGTTGTCTTGGGGTAAGCCAAAAATGATGTAGTAACTCAACAACGCATGCCTGTAGTGATAGTTGACCCACACACACACACCAATAACTTAATACTATCAACTATGCCTGAATCCCAAATTAGTTGACCATATAACAAAAGTGGGTTTTGAGAATATCACCCTTATTCTTTCCTGATAAACGTGGTACCTAGATCAGCTTGCACATAACTCAACTAACTCCACGACTACCTCTCACCTCCTACCAGTAAAAGTATCATGTGACTCTGTCCATAAATTGATTGATTCCGCTTTGGAGTTTAAAGAACTTTTCATACTTGTTGTACTTGTTCATTTTCAAAATTACAATTTCAAACGGTTAGAGTGGTTAGAGTCTCACACTGGTTGGGGAACAAACGGGTAATGAACCAGGGGTCTGTTTATATGGATTTGGGAGATCCTCCCTTCATTAGCTAGCTTTAGGGGTTGAGTTAGGCCAACCTGTCATATCCATCTTTGTTTAGGCTCTCGGTCCACGCTCCAGTTGGTCTGTTTAACACTTCCACAGATGTGAAAAAATTACCTAATATTTTTTACTCCGCCACGATTTGAACATCAGACCTCATGATTCCCGACCCATTCATTGACCACTAGACCACACCCTCCGATTAAATATCACCCTTATTCTTATCAAATCAGCACAATATAATTAACATATAAGAGCACACTAGAAGGAAACAAAAACTGCTGAAAGAAATTCAAGAAAAGACCTTCTGAGTAATACAATGAGGGAATTGGGATTTTCCACTTTCTTTATCAACAATGTCTTCCTCATTCAAGAACAACAGATAACAATTAAAATTACTACAACTAAACAAACAGAGCAAAAGGGTATCATAAAACTTCACCTGATAACTGTTTAGCTTATGAAATTCTTTCACCGGCGGCAAAGTCTTTGCTGCCTGAGAAACTATCTTTATCCTTTTCTATCCAAACCCCACTTCAAATATGCCTCAATTTTCACTGTTTGGATGCAAAAGCTGCAATCTTTTTCACTCTATGGTGCAAATTGGAAGCTTTAATATAAGGGTTCACTGTAGATTTTCTCTTATTTTTATTAATATGTACTTATAATTTATTTTTTTCTTTTTCTTTGGTTTGGATAGGAGCCTTATTTTTTAGTTTAACTAATATTCAGAGAAAAAAAAAATATTAGGTTATATCAGGGAGTTCACGAGTTAGATTTTTAGTTGTTTTCGAAATGAATTCTCAAGATATATTAATTGGAGTCTTATTTTATAAAAATACTTTTAATTTAGGCATGGTAGGTTTCTATTTGAAATCATGAATAAGCTCCAAGAAAAATTTATATATAATAACATATAAAATAAATCAAGCAATTTCATAGCAACAAAATCAGAGTGGCGCAGCGGAAGCGTGGTGGGCCCATAACCCACAGGTCCCAGGATCGAAACCTGGCTCTGATATGCAATTCAGTGAGCTTCCAAAACCACATTTTTTTTCATCATCGGGCGGGAGAGCCGAAAATAATAACGTGTCGTTCTTTTTGAGACGTGTAGTTAGGTGGCATAGTATGAAAAACTGATAGTAGTAAACAGGTGCTGGAAACAAGCAACATCAACCCAAAAACAAGATTACCAGAACAATTTTCGAATCAAAATGGATTGAGTTAACGAAACCAGCCAACTCCTTTTCATCTCTTGTCACAAGAGAGAAAGTAATCGATGAAGTAACAGCCAATGATGACAATAAAACAGTTGCCAGTGTTGAAATGAAGTTAACTGAATGCAGATGCAGTTAAAAGTTGAGCAACTTTATTAACAACACATGTATAAGGTGAATGCCAGGCTGCTCAATTATCCATTACATTACTTTCCAGTTGATTACATTGAGAAGATATGGTAAAGAATTCGCGTAAAAGCACTTTGAATTTGAACCTAACTGACCAATTCTCATGTCAGGCAGGACGACATCTCTTCAAACATTACACAGGACATAACAGCTTATGATTTACTGTTGCTAAGAAGATGACTGCAAGAATTTCTACAGTTGAATAGGCAACAGAGGCACAATTGGATGCCTCGTCTTGCAAGAAATTGTTAACTTTAGTAAGCTGGAAAATAGACCATCAAGATTATCTGTGTAGCAACCTTTGGCAACTTGCAGATAGGCCTTCACCTAGCAGTTACTCGAGACAAAAGCTTGGATTGTTTCGTTGGTCATAAAACAAATAAAGAATGGGAGCAGTAAGCTCATAATCAGCATCTGTTCTGTGGTGGAAGTTGCAAGAATATGATCCGCCCAAAAGCAATTTCTTGATCCACTTACAAGGTTCACATGCCTAGACAGGGCTCTCAGAAAGTTTTGAGAAGCTATTCTTCTTCAGACTATTCTTCATAAGGTTTGCATGTGTTTTTCCCGAACTACCACATTTTATGTCCACGATTTCCACTAACGCCAGTCCCTTTCTATCAGGTTTCTTCCTAATAGGAGTTCCATCTACTGAAATGTTTTCTGATTTTAGCATAGGAATTTGAGGAGTTCTACAATTGTAGTACTGCTTCGCCTTCCTGACTATCTCGGAGTCATTTTTATGATCTTCAGATGCCCAGCTGCAGCTAGCTTTATCGATTGATGTTCTTGGCTTTGTTCTTTTAGGACTGGTTGCATCACCAGCAGCAAATGAACAAACAGTAGGAGACCTATACCTACGTGATACAGATGTCGTAGAAGCAGATGGTTTTGAATCTAATTCTCTTGACATGAGGGCACTGATTGTACCAGTTGTTCCAACTTTAATCGAACCTCCACCACCCCTTATAGACTCTAATGTCTGAACCATAATTCTCTCCAAATATTCTGAGGTTGCTCTACCAGATATTTAGATAAACCTGTGAAATAACAACCAATACGTGCATAAGTCCAACTGTGATGAGATGAGTTCAAACAAAATCTAACTCTTCATACAATCATGGTTGACATGAGCTTATATATATGGACAAAAAATCTGGTCAATCAAGGAAGAGCACAGCAAAAGAGCTAAGAGCACAGTCACATAAATGCCAATATCCTAAATTTATCAGGAATAAACACATAAACACAGAAATATCTATAATTGTAACGAGAACCTAGAAAGCTGCATAATAAGGACCTGAAAACCATATATAAGAGAAAATAAAGCTCACTGGTCGACATATTCCAGTAAATATTCTATCAGATTATAAAAGATCAAATGCCAAAGGGAGTCATACTGGACATTTTTGTTAAGGGGTATACAACTGGGAGAAACATCTACATGGTTTACCAGTTATACCAATTCTTAAGATTGAAACAGAAAAAGAAAAAGAAAAAGAAAAAAAGATTGAAACAGACTAGACATGTCTAAAAGATGGAACATAAAACATTTTTTCGGTTTTCCACCCGGTGTCATGTACATGTTTGGTCTGACTAATCTGGATTCTCGCTGCATAAGGCCCTTTTAAAGGGGAATCATCCCCTAGGACTCGAACCCAAGACTTCTGCTTAAGGGTGGAGGGATCCTTCCCATTCCACCACAACCCTCGGATGGAACATCAAACATGTTAATCAAATTCAACATCACAAAGGGAAAACAAAGAACTATCATGCTAAACAGAAAGAGTTCTTTCTCCTGACCAACCATCCCTTAACAAATTCTTGAAAATGCAAAATGAACCTTGAAATTAGGAGTTCTTTTATCCTCCTAAACAGAAAAAGTCCTCCAAGTTTTCAATCTATGCATCAACTTGACAAGTTTCATAGACCCATAAATCCCATATAACTAATACTCCTACTCAAGAATCACAAGAAGAAGCTGAACATTTGAAAACACCACAAAGATTGAAACTTTTGGCAAGTCAACATAGCAAAGACCTCTAGTTAAAGACGGAGGAATTCTAGGATGGAACACCAAACACATTACCTAATCAAACCCAACATCACAAAGGGAAAACTGAAAAGCCTAACTGTCTTGACCCTCAGTTAACAAATTCTTGAAAATGCAAAGACAAGTTGAATCCTCCTAAACATAAAAAGTCCTCCAAGTTTTCAATCTATGCATCAACTTGACAAGGGCAATAAGACCCATAAATCCCATATAGCTAATACTCAATAATCATAAGAAGCAGCTCAAACAAAATATGTGAAAACACCACAAAGATTGAAACTTTGACAAGTCAATAGAACAGATAGTATTATCTTGGACTGAAACCCAATGAAATAACAAAGAAAAAAAAAGCTGCCATTGGAGCCCTGAAAAAAGGTTTACCTAATAAAGATGAGCAAATCCCCTCTGTCAATGGAGGGGGTTTGACAGCAAATATTCAATGCCCTTTGTGTCACTCTGCAGAAAAGCATATTGTGTTACATGATTCATCAATAATTTGTAAAACTTTTGTTGTTGGGCCCCACCCACACCTTTTGTTGCCTCAGATGTGGGGAAGAACTACTTTTTTGGTTGTTAAATTAGTAAATTTTAGCCTTTTATCAATTTTAACTGCACCGATCCTTCTTCAAGTAAATTGTTCTTATATTCGAACTTTACACATCATTCTTGGAGTAAATTGTTCTTATAATTTAAAGTGATAATGATTTGAACTTCATAAATTCATTCATGAAATTTCACTATTTCTTGGAGTTTGAACGTTCAAAACGTCTACGGTCTCTTTTAATAAGTAAAATCTAGCAAAAGTATGCTCAAGATGAAATACATAGATAGATACAATGTTGTGCATAATCCAAAAATTCTCCACCAAATGCATAATATATTGAATAAACTAATGTCCACTTACAAAAGTAATTAACTTTGAAATATCATTAGTGTTTGGTCCTCCACTAATTCCTATTATTTGCTAAATAATTTCATTGTTATATAATTTCCGTGATATAGTCCCACATTATTATATAATATTACTTGTTAATGAATCAAAGAATCCTAAAAAAGGTTTACCTTTTGAGGTTCCAACATACACTTAGATTCATTTACTATATAGGTAAATGTACACAAATCTCACTTCTACCTTAGAGGTAGAGAGATTGTTTATGATAGACCTTCCGCTCAAGAAAAAATAGTCCAGAAAAAGAATATATGAAAGTGAAAGCATAACAAAGCATTTTGAACAATAACTACAATTAATAATATGATAATCGAAGTAGTAAATACACACCTGCACAGATAGGATGGGGAAGACATCATCAGAATGGTAAGGTGCAATTTTACAAAGATTTTGATACGAAAACCAAGACTACATACAACTTACTCAACCAAAAACACACAAAAAAAGAAAATATGTTACATTTACACAAATTAAGGTCTCTACAGGCTTAGGCTAATCTATACCTGTTGAAAAATAAGAGTAACAGCAGCAGGTTACATGACACAAAAAGGGGGAGGGGAGGAAGGCAGTTATAGTTTGATGGTCGCGAGAATCATCCGTTTGCTGTGACACACAGGGACTGGGTTAGATTAAACTCTATACATTTCATAGCACAAAATAAATGCAGGGAATGGAGCCGAGTTGATATAAGTTCGCGTATTTTTGTCGATGAAATCCACCATCTACTTGGCAGAATACCAGTTTTTAGCACATTTAGCATCGACAGATAAGCCTACTCTGAGAATATTTTTCCCATTAAAAGGATTGGACATGCAGTGAACCACTATTGCCATGGCTTCTTTTTCAGATTCTTCCGGTCCTTCCAAAATAACTTCATCATGAACCTGTTCCAAGACGAACAGTTAAGTACAGTGTCAAATGACGCACACAATTAACTGGTACTGCAAGGCGCATACAACAAATAATTATAAGCTATGCAAACATAAAATTCTAAATGTGTCGTGCCCTTTCTATTGCATGAAAAAACAATCTTTCTCATAGTAAATATTCATGAAAATTCTGGCTATAATCTTTTTGTCTGCAGTTAAGCACAACAAATGGTAAAAGTCCAACACTTATCACCCGAATTAACAGTAATTGAGGCATCTGACCAAACTTAACATGAGGTTAAACTTGAGGGGTGAGCTCGAAAGTTGTAGGTGAAGCCTACAGAGAGAGAGTTATCGAGAGATGTACCAACACATAAAAGATAGAAGAATACAGTTTTTTCTGTTATTGTTTGTTTTTTCTTTTCCTAAATGAGATGAATCCAGTAAAGGACAACGGAAGGTAAACCTGTAAAAGCAATTTCCATCCAAGCTCCTTTAGTCGTGCATTCTTTGATATCTCTAACATGGCGCACATAGCGACATCTGCAGCACTTCCCTGTCAAAAACTTCAGAAGTCAGCATGGCGTACATGGGGACATACATGCGCAGACAACTTATCAAAAAGAAAAAAAGAGAGCGGGTGAAGGTGTATTAAGATGGACCTGCACTGGAGTATTGATAGCAGCTCGTTCTATGTGGCCTTTTACGGATCCAGTTGCATTTTTTACTGACGGAAACCAGCGTGCTCGTCCTAGAAGTGTGTGAACACGTCCAAACTCGCGTGCTTCAAATCTGCGTTGTTCCTGCCAATCTGACACTTCTTTTCTATCACTATACCAACGTTCAACTGTTTCCTTTGCTTCCTTTACAGATACCTGAGTATGAAATAGTATTTATTCAGCTCATACAGACCTAAAAAACTATATGTATAAAAATCAAGGTAATTAAATAGATATTGTCAGATACACAAAAAAAATATAAAAAACTGTCTCAAAGATGCTGAAGTACCTTCCAATCGCGTGAGAGTCCAATTGTAGTTTTTCCGTACGCAATTGAAAAATTGAGCATCTTTGCCTTCCTTCTTTCAGAGCCAAAAGCATCCTGAAAAGGAATTTGTATTATACTGCATTAAAATCCCACTTAATCATACTTCTTGCACTAAATTTCTTGTTCATGGAATTTCCCCTCATGGAAGTAGCTGACCAGGTGTATAATACTATATCCGACAATCTCCTGTCTTCTGCATATTAATAGGAAAGTTTCACCATCCACAATAAGTGTTTGCAGTTACCTTTAGCAGAGGAACTGGTGGTTTGTCTTCACCTGGTTCAGGATGCCACTCAAGAAGTACCTGCCCTTTTTCAACGGCTTCACGGATGTGAGGATACATATTCATAGCAGTCCTTGAATGGAAGTCTCCACCAGCTTTGAATGCACCCAACATGCTCTTACAGTTGGCAAGATGTGCAAGAATCCTTAGTTCCAACTAATTTTGAGAAAATTGTTAGTTTTTTGCAAGCAATTCAAGAAATACCAACTATTATAACCAGTAAGCAGCTAGATACCTGCCCATAGTCAGCCACAATCAAGGAATTCCCCTCTGCAGCTACAAACCCTTGGCGAATTTTATACCTATCTTTCTCCAGAGCAGGCTGGTTCTGTATTGCAAAGAAATAAACATTGAAACAACATTCTAGTAAAGTAATGGAACACAAGTGATGACCGATGACCATTGAAGTTATTACTTGATTTCTCTTTACCTGAGCCATGCAATACAGCATGAGCCCAATTAATGATAAAGGAGAACATTTACAACATTTTAGTAAATTTATAGGGTTTATATCAAAACTTGAAAAGTGGTCAACACCTAAAACAAGATAAACCAGTAGCTGGTTGCATATTTGGGAATCAAAATGCATGACAATCAAGAAGTCAGTGAAGGAAATAAACCTGTAAATTTGGTCTCCTTGCAGACAAGCGCCCAGTTTCAGTATTAATATTCAGGGAGCAATGAATCCGCCCATTTTCACCTGACACATCATGACCCTGAGATAGAAAGAGAAATGCTTTTAGAGAACAAATTAGTCAAGACATCAATTTTGGAAAAAACCATGACGGCATGGAAAGATATAACTCAGTTTGCCTCAAAACCATCTTCCATGGTGTTATGGCTACTCTACATTCCACCCTCAACCAAACACCTTGTTGGCTACTTCCATCTCCAA